GAAAGGCCACACCATCTTAGTCTTGATACACCGCATGTGATTACCTTCTATTGCACACATTTTGTTTGGACGATATGCTCTTGGATTACGTAAAAGCGGGAATCAAAGCCAGATGTTAACCTAATAAAGCCTCCTCTTGCTCCTCTCCATAATCTTATCCAACAGCCACAGGTAGTTTTCACTTAATTTCCTATACCCATTCCTCGTATCCAGTGTCAGCTTTGTTGGTTTTTATAAATCTCCTAATTTTTCGATTACTGGTATAGTCGACATTTCTAGTTATATATTTACCATTCTGCTGTCCTGTGCGAGCCGTGTTCGGCCAATTCCAATTTTTCGTCCCATAAACCCTTACAAGCTGCTTTGCGTTCATATAACTTCTTAGGTATGGGCCTTTAGAGTTGTCGCACAGACGTCACCGCATGAATAAGAACTTTCGTAATAGCCCGATCTGTAGATGTCAAAACATTCACATAAAGAAAGTAATACCGAGGAAAGCGTTATTTTTTTTATATTAATAGTCCCGACGTGCCACTTCACCAGTAGTTCAATTATTTCCAAACGAATAAGACTAATTGTTTCACAATATAAAGAAGCTACTGACCCAAAGCTAATCTCAAAAGGATAGACCAGGGAAATAGAACGTAGGGACCAAGCAAAAAATGGGACACTAACACCCTCGGGCAATACGAGTGTAGCAAATAAGGCAGGTTTCGATCCGAGTCATATTAACCTACTCGAGTATGCCATAGACACTGCTCACATTGGTCGACGAACCTATAAAACGCTTCAATATTGCAGTAGCTGTGGCCACATTCAAACCCCTTAAATGGATAAGCTGCACTCATCTGCAAACCACCAAGGTATGGATGAAGTAGTGAGCTAAACCAAGAGATGCCTCACGAAGATCGTAAAGTAAGTGATGGTTTCTTGATTACGATGTCTGTCCCATGAAGGACAAAAGCTCACCAAGAAACCTCTGGGGTCGCAAGACAGCAGGCCATCTTCTTTGCATAACACAGGTGTCACGAATCAAAGGCGAACCTCGTTTGGTTTCAGGAGATAATTTACGAACCCCTCCCATTCGACATGGATTGTGACCCTGTACTAAAGCTGGGGCCTACCACTGATGCCAGTGAAACGTATGGGAATGCACCAAGTTAACGATCCAGTGCCTGAAACTATCATATTTGCCATGATAAGGGATACAGGACTGGGTACTTTGCATAAGGTCTTCCTGTGGACCAGATCAAGTTGCAAAAACGAAGCCAAAGGAAGTGATTAAAGAAAAAATGGTCTGTAATTAAACCTAAAACCACACTATTTTGGTCTCAATAAATTTCGCCGAAAATGAATAAGATGTATACGAATAATTGGCCTCTGACAAGCAACACGTCACTGAAGAATAAGATGACAAAAACATGTACGAATCCAAGTCAAAAGCGGACATAGTCTTGTCACTCTTCTGTACGAGTTTTTTTATTCACTATAAACTCTTTATGAAACTAACCAAACGATATCATCAAAGATGAGACGGTCGATTGGTTTTACGTACAGACCCACCAGCTTGCCAATACTTTCTAAGCAAGGAATAAGTAAAGATACTTTTTGAAGTGTAAGATTCAATGAAAAGGAAAAGGATGTACAATCCCGCTGAAAATCAAAGACGGTAGAAGAAATTAGAGTAAATGAAAGTGACACCAAGTGCTTTTATGTAAATCTTACTGGAAATGTCAACCGAAGTACAAGAAAAGGCAGATGAAGTACTGACAAGATGAAATGATAAACAAAACAAGACCTGCCCTACAGGAAAAAAATAGACAAAAATTGTTACGTGAGGTGATAGTCTCTTGAATATAAGGATAAGAAAGTTCAGAGTAAATGCAGACCAAGAAAGGATAAAACCAACAGAAGAGATAAAGGAAATCCTGAAATGAGGCAGCGCCGAAATATCCATTATCACTTTGGAGTTAGAATAAAGTAAAGACGTTGCCCTTAAGTCATACAATCCAAACACCTCTCCATTTTCAAGTGCCGAAGATCAACCCACTCAGGCAAGGAAGCATAAAATCTTCAGATTAAAGAGTATCATCGGACCTAGTTGCAGCGTAGTGAGTAGTGGAGAACTACAATAACAAGAGGAATCAAGCAAACATAAAATTAAAGATCTCGAGTCCAGCAAGACATATACCTTGCCCAAAAGGCATGCCGCTGCCACCAAATGCATGTATTTACAAGATAGAGTAGATTTGTTGGAATGAGGCGGCATAATCAGACAAGAAGGAAGAGGAACCACGAAAGGTTTGTAGAAATATAAGCTAAAGTTGGTTGTTCATGGCAATACTTGGCCAAACCAGCAAGGCGAGAGCATTTCTCGCCACATTCACTGGGGATAATAAGCTATAAAAATATTAGACAAAGCAAGCACAGACGGAAAGAGAAAAGCACTAAACGCCTAAGAGAGAATAAAGATCGCCGCCGTCCACCTCTTTAAGTGACTTTTGTTGTTGCTGTGTCGATACTTTTGGTATGGCATGAGTAGCTGAGTCATCCAGATCAGCTGAGTGAGGCTGGCAATCACTGCCAGTCTCTAATAGAACGCCAGCCACAGAAAATTTTTCCTGAGGAGGCAACTGGGCAGTCCCAGGTGAGTGAGTGCTGGAACCAGGTGAATCAAAGGGGACGCGAGAGATGGAAGAGTCAGCTAGAGCTTGGCTTGGCCTGGTTGAACCCTGAAGATTGCAACGTAGACCAGAGGCTGGTGCTGGGCAAAGAAGTAGAGTGGGTAGTTTCGCCTGAAGTGGAGGAGAGGCAGGTGGGGGTGGCGAGGAAGGAGGAGCTAGGTGGCTGTGAATAAGGGGCATGGTAGGAGGCTGTAGGATATCCGTGTGGCAGGGGAGAATGGGGTGTCCAGATGCCGGAGTGCGACTTGTTTGGGACACAGATCGAGATTCCAGACAGCTATTAACAGAACCACCTGAAGCCTGCCGGACACCTGGAAGCCAAGGCCCGAGGCCGGAAAGATGAAGGAGAGGATCAAGCGAGACAGGCCGGTGTGGAGGTGACGTGGGTGTATCAGAGCGGGCAGTGAAATGGCTCGCAGTGGACTGTGGTGGGGAAAGCGGAAGTTGAGAAGGAAGCAAACCATGAAGAGGTGCATGGAACGATAGGCCAACCGGATGCCCCTGGAATCCAGCCGCGCCGTGTGGAGTGGGAGCGATACCTGTTGTGTGGCCTGGCGGTCTGTGAGTAAGGATGACGCGCTGTGAGATAGGCAGTGGTGGAGGGGGCGGTGGAGGAAGAGCAGTGGGTGAGAGAGGACGGCTAGAGGCTCTGTGGCGAGGTGAGACGTGTTGAGAGCCAGTGCCACCACCGCCGCCAGCTACGACTCGATTTACCAGAGTGGATGGCATGGAAGAGGGAGAATTAGCTGAAAGAGAGGTAGAAACAGCTGTTGCCGCGGCTGCAGCAGCGGCAGTGACGCCCTCTTCGGCCTTACTCAAAAGACGAGCAATACGGGTGTCCAGATCCAAATGCTGACCACTCTGTTGGTACTCTTCGTCAGAGCGGGAGGGATGTGGTTCCGTATCCTCACGTAGACCAGCGGAATCCCTATCTTTATCATGATGGATGTAATCTCGACCTGTTAGGCTAACAGGAGTATCTGAATTTGATTGAAACCTGGTTAGCTTGGCATGTGCGCCTGTGACTAAGCTACCAGCAGAATAGTGTCGAAGATTGGAAGCTCGGCCCGTCGATCTTTGACATGGGCTAGACCGAGTATCCTCACGACGAGGATGTTTCCGTGAATGCTCATTACGGGGCGACTCGTGCTTGCGCTTATGTCCACGTACTTGTTCGCGATAGCTTTCGGATCTAATAGGAAGAGAAAAAAATACATTAAATATAAAAATATGTAGGTAAATCGTATCTAAATGGTGTCAAGAGATGTGAGAATAAAATTACCTGATTTTGGATTTAAACACTGAGGATGTGCAAGCTATAGTGATTAGGTATTAAAACTTTAAAAAGAAGCCACATATTATAGTAAACAAAGACAGAGTATTTGTCAATATTAGCAGCAGAAAACTAGCGAGTACTTTGAAAAATATAGTAATTAAAAATAAGCAAGAATCAGTGGTAGATATGAAGACCAGAGTGGTGTTGCCTTCCGTCTGGTCGCAGTCTCCTTTAGCTTTAGTGCTGGTTCGACCTTGGTCGGAGTGTCAAGGAGTCCTTGTGGAACGTACCTAGTCCCATGTCCTCTGCCATAGTATTCGTGATTTCCAGCATTGGACCATTAGCTGGATAAATGCCTAAACGTTTCGCCGGTAGCATTAGCGAGAAGCTCCATCGTAAACACATAGTTACAACTTATCAATGAAAAGTCTTGTCACTCTAGTAGGTATATT